ATCATTGGAAAAACATTTCCTTTTCTTGATGACATTGTTTGCCGCCCACAATTAATTCAGTAGCCCAATTTATTTATGATTTTCTCTTTTGCTTGTGCTGTCATATCATATCTAAGAATACATTAGCTAATTCAAGTTAATAAAGATTTACTTCCTCATTTTTTTCAACAAGTTTTATAGGTTAAACTCTCATATTGAGTCTATGGTCCATTGTCAGTTTTTCAGTGTGATGAGAGGTCAGTTTACTTCTTCATTCTTTTTTCATGTTGATAGCTTATTAGCCCAGCAAATTTTATTGTAAAGACATCTTTTACTTTATTGAATTGAACATCAAGGAACCATAAATTATTAATATGATTTCATTGATCTGTAGTTCTATCCTTATGCCAGTACCACTCTGTCTTGAGTATTTTTTCTGGTAGTATTTAAAAGGTGTGAGCTCTGCAAATTGTTCATTGTTTTTAAAGTTGTTTGGCTATTTACTGTTTCTTGAATCTTTGTATAAGTGATAGGCATCACTTAACAACATATGGCTGAAATTTTGATAAGTATTGTATTTAACTTATAGACCAAATTAAGAACATTGCTACTTGAATTATATCATCTTCTTATTCATGAATATAGGATTTATTTAAACATTTAAAAACCATTTAAAATAATACATTGTACTTTTAGTGTACAAGAAGCTTCTTTAGTTAAATTTCTACTATTCTTTTTGATTGTACTGTAAATGGAATTATTTACTTAATTTCATTTGGAAACGTTTATAGCTAGTATACAGAAATATTATATTATTTATTGATTTTATATCACATTAATTTGCTGAATTTATTTATTATTCTTTAAGATTTTCTATATAAAAGATTATGTCATTTTTAAGTGGAAATATTTTTTAATTTGTTTCCAATTTCTGCCTTTTATTACTTTTTCTTATCTAACTGCACTGGCTAGAATTTCTAGTTCCACATTAAGTCAAAGTAGTGCAAACAGGTATCTTTGTCTTGTTCCTGAACTCAAGGGAAGCATTCAGTCTTTCAACATTAAGTGCAATGTTTGTTGTGTGTTTTTGCTGATGCCTTTTATTAAGTTGAGAATGCTTCTTATATTTATAATTTTTCAGTATTTTGAAAGGATCTTGTCAACTGCTTTTACTCTAATATTGATGCAATGTTTACATATGTAATTTTAACTAACCTAAGCCAACATTAAAATGCTATTATTACATTTCATGTATAGGTACTTCATACCTGAGTATTTTCAATTCTTCTCCGCATTCTTTGTGAAATTGCTGTTATTATTTTACTTATCTACATCTTATATTTACTCACATGTTGTTAATATTTTAAACAGTTATCTGTTAGAATAAATATGATTAAGAATAAAACAAGATTATATTTTACCTTAATTTTTTTCTTCCCTGATACTTCTCTCTTTTTTGTATAGATGCAAGTCTCAGATATATATAATTTTTTCTTTTACCTGAATAACTTTTAACATTTTGTTCAGGAAAGATTTGCTTTCAATGAAGTTTCTCAGTTTTTGTTTAACAGAGAAAGACTTCATTTCTCTTTCATTGCTGCTAGATAATTTTGCTAGATACATGATTCTAGGTTGGGTTATTTTCTTTTATCAGCCTTTCAAACATTCCACTCTATTCATTTGTTTGCATGGTTTCTAATGAGTTGTCCATAATTCTTATTTCTATTCCACTACAGGTTTTCTCTGACTTCTCTAAAAAATTTTTCCTTGGTATTTGGTTTTCTGAATTTTGAATATGATATACCTTTGTGCTTTTTTTTGTTTATTTAATTCATTTTTGTTTCTTTTTCTATTTTCCTTTGTATTTATCCTAACTAATGTTTTCTGAATTTTCTGGATTCATGATTTACTGTCTCTCATTAATTTTAAAATGACCTGGCCATTATTGCTTCACACATTTCTTCTGTTCTATACTCGTTTTCCTCTTCTCTAAATTATACATATGCTACTAATTTTGAAATTGGGCCATAGTTCTTGCAAGTTCGGATAGTTTTTTGTTTTTTTCCACTTCCTTTGTTCTCTTTGAATTGCAATTTAGAATGTTTCTATTGACGTAAGTTCTGGTTCACAAGTTCTTTCCTCAGCTATGTCCAGTCTACTGACAATATTATTATAGGCATTCTCCATTTTTGTTATTGTTTTTTATTTCTAGCATTCCATTAATTCTTTATCACTTTCAATCTTTCTGCTTGCAGTACTAATAAGTTCTTGCATGTTGTATGATTTTTTTCATTAGTTCTCTTAACATATTTATCTCATAGTTATTTAAAATCCCTGGTTGATAATTCCAAAGTCTGCATCATATCTGAATCTGATTCTAATGCTTACTTTGTATCTTCAGACTACATTTTTTTCTCACTTGGCATGGCTTGTACTTTTGGTGTTGTTGGAAGCCATACAACACATATTAGATTAAATGAACAAAAGTAAGTAGGTCTTCAGTGTGAGATTTTATGTTACTCTGGCTAGGAGTTGGACTGTGTTTAATGTTTGCTGGGTGCCAGACACTTCCGATGCTTCCAGTGTCTTCCTTTTGGTCTTCTGTGTTGTCTTTGAATTTTCCTAAGATCACTTCTTCAAATAAAGGCTATATCACACAGCTCTTCAGACATATATTTTTTAATGTACTAGATTCCTGTTGGGATGGTAATAAGGCGCATTGGGAAGGGAACCTTGTATAGTGTTATGATTAAATCTCAGTCTTTTCATGAGGCTGTATCTCTTGGCTCTGTTTGTCACAACTGCTTCTTCAGTGGTATCACTTCTGCCCACTACTGTCTTTCTTGGCTATAGCACTCCCAACCTATAACTTTGCAGTTCTCAGCTCTATTGACAATGTTTTTATAACACTTCAGGACAAAAAGACTAGAGAGAAATTGAGTGATAAGAATCCCCTTCCTCTATCTCCAATAAGGCCTTGGAAAATATTCCTCTGGAGAGTAGCTCCTTTATTATGGAGAAACTTCTGGATGTGTTTCGCAATAATTGTTGTTCCCTTTTTCTTGAAAAATCTACAAGGGATCTTTCCTGAATCTTCACTGTGAAAACCTGGTAGGGCCACTTGAGGTAATGCAGATAACAAATGGGTGTTCCTCTTTAAGAAATGGGTTCTCCAAGAGTTCGTCACTCATACTAGCTCAGATTCAACCTCCAGCAATTCATCAGTACTGCCATTTGAATGCTCCCACAATTGTGACAGCAAAGCTGATCAGAATTTGGATTCACATCGGGGAATAAAGAAAAACAAGTCTTTTGTTTGTTTTAAAAATCGTATCATGGGCCAGGCATGCTGACTCAAACCTGTAATCCCAGCACTTTAGGAGGCAGAGGCAGGCAGACTACCTGAGGTCAGGAGTTCAAGACCAGTCTTGCCAATATGGTGAAACCCAATCTCTAAAACTGTAAAAATTAGCTGGACTTGGTGGTGGGGGCCTGTAGTCCCAGTTACTCAGGAGGCTGAGGTGGGCGAATTGCTTGAACCCAGTAGGTGGAAGCTGCAGTGAGACTCCATCTCAAAAAAAAAATTGTATTATAAAAGACATTAATGTTTTTAAGTCATTTTAAATTAAATGAATATTTTAAAAAGAGAACTTACCAACTTTATGGCAATACCTAAATTTATATCTTCATTTGAGTCTTCTCTTTAGGGTCCTAAATTATTACTATTATTATTATACAACTTGGATGTCCTAGGGTTAAAAATGATAGAAACATCAAATTTTCTCTCAGAAACTCCATCAAAATTGTTCCTACTTCTATGTTCTAAATGTCAATTTTAAAAACAAATAAAAACCTAGTCAGCTAGCAAACAACATGGGATTTAGGCTAGTGTCTTCCTGTTGTTTCTGTCTGGAGAAACATTTAATCATCTCAATTTCACACCCCCATGTTCCCCTATAATAGTCTTCATGTAGCACCCAAGATCAACTTGAAAAATGTAAATCATATTATGTCATTATGGTCTTCAACTTCTTGAATATCTCCTCATCAATAACGTAGTTCACTATGGTCTTTGATGTATATGCAAATAATTGACATTTACAGAAATTCTAAGGCTTTGCTATGTTCAGGGTACCACTCTGGCAAAATACAGATAAAGTTTTCTGTGTGTGCTGGCCAAGTCTGATGCCACATGGCTCTACCATCATGACCACAATGTATTGTTCTATGGATCAGTAGCTGAGCCAAAAGCAAGAATGTGTAGGCTGGGTATTAATGAGGACCCACACATATTGGTGTGGTTTGAGACCTCTCATGTGAACACAAAACTCCAAATGCTATTTCTACCTTTATTAAACATGGATGAGACACTCTCAATGGATATTTCTCTTTTGCAAAGTGTGATATTGATGTACAAGGAAAAGAATATCAAAACACAGAAACTTAAAGAATCTGAATGGATACAACTTTACAAATAAACTGGGCAACTACCTCTTTTGTTGTGTAAGGGAATACGAGGAAGCACTGATGGAGTTCTCCATGAGTTCTCCTGTACACTACAGCTCTGGAAATCTGAATTTTACAAGAATCTTTTATTGAAGGGCTTTTGCTTATAATTTCTTGCGTGTCTGATATGCACTTAAAGTATATTCCCATCACACAATTAAACAGAATTGATAGTCAAATAATTTAATTATTTATTTTTCTATTAGTTTTCAGAATTATTCCCCTTTTAGTCAGAATTTAAAATCAGGCTTCTTAACTCAACAGAATGTAAGTCCTGTTTCAGTTTATGATAGGAATCCAATATGAGACTTAAAAATTTTAGGCTAGTAAATAATATATCACATTAACTTAAAACTAACGCTGGCTTCAGACAAGTCTTTGAGATAAACAGATATCGTGATGTTTATAACACTTCAAAGTAAACAGGTTTAACAAAATTTGGAAATGAATAATCATTCTTTAATTACGTGGTAACTATAAATTGCAAGGTTTTGATTACTGAATGATTGTACTTACAGTTATGTGGATTCTGGTACAAAATTCAGTTTTTGAACTCTGAAAGAAAAAAGCAGTAATAATACATTGATGTGCTAATGTGCAAATATATATGTCAATTAAATACAAAATTAATAATGGTTATTTAGCCTTTTTGCCCTACCTAAAACTCTAGAAAATATTTTCATCAAAATATTATGAAGAACGGTAAACTAGAGTAAGTGTCCACATACTTCATGTAAAATAGCAAGTAATTATAAGCTTGAATAATTAGTTTAACTTCAATAGTTAAAAAGTGTGTTTAATTTTGCAAATGATTACAGATTTAGTGTTTTAGCACTCTGTAACTCAAATGCTTCTGTGAAAAACTATTTTATCATGAAAAATATACATAACAAAAAATTCTTTAAAATGTTTTAATATTTGTAAATCTTTCATATGCTTATATTGTAATTCAAATAATAAAACATTGTATATACATATATATGCAAAAAAAAATTTTTTTTTTTTTGAGACGGAGTTTCGCTCTTGTTACCCAGGCTGGAGTGCAATGGTGCGATCTCGGCTCACCGAAACCTCCGCCTCCTGGGTTCAGGCAATTCTGCCTCAGCCTCCTGAGTAGCTGGGATTACAGGCACGCACCATCGTGCCCAGCTAATTTTTTGTTTTTCTAGTAGAGACGGGGTTTCACCATGCTGACCAGGATGGTCTCGATCTCTTGACCTCGTGATCCACCCACCTCGGCCTCCCAAAGTGCTGGGACTGCAGGCGTGAGCCACCGCGCCCGGCCTGCAAAAATATTTTTATATGTATCTTTTACTTCCTAGTTCATTTATAATTAAAAATTGCTATATGGAAAATAGAAGGGAACAAACAGTGAGCTTTCATTGACAATAGTTGGAAATTTTCTAGTACAATCAGAGAAAAATATGAAAAATAAACATCTATGTTAGCAGTAGGAAAACTGGGATGTATGAATCAGGCAAGGATGTCTGTGAATTCTGGAGTCATAATTACTATAAACTAACTGATCCCATGACCAAGTATTAAGCTACACATTTTTAACAAGAGAACACTCAACTGTAGAAGGCAGGAAAAATCTTAATAAATGAAAAGGCATAATTCAGTGGTCTAACACATAGATTCACATAATACCACATTTATATCACTTTTCTTTGTTTTCCTTTCTTGTATCAAAACAGCAGAAACTACAGAAACAGTGTGTTAATATTTATTTCCAATTGTCAGTACATAAACATACAACACTAATTATAAGATAATACCTTATTCTTATGATTCTTTAAATCCATTAATAGTACTTTGTATTTTCTCAAAACATTGCATGTTGAATGTCAAATATATTTTTATCACTTTAACAATGATGATTAATGAATAATAATTTTTTTGAAAAATTGAAATGAGAGTGTTTAAATTATCTGCTGATTGATTATTGTAGAAGAATCTGAAGGAGATTCTGATCTAAAGATGAGATGTATTCTGTCTTTAGCGCCTTGGATTTCCAACCCCTTAAGCCAATGTGATTGTCTAAGTGAAATTATACCTTACTCTAACATAAACAGCCATATTTATTTGCAGAAAACGATACACACATATAGCATATAACCTTGTCCACCAACATCTTGCTATAGTTACCTTGACATTGTGAAAGGGTGTAAAAATTAAATGCTGCAAATATGGGAAATAAAAGAAGATATAGAAAATGAAAGAAGACAAGGAAGTAAAAGAAAAAAATAAATTAATTTATAATGTATCTCTTTTGAGATTAAAGTATAAAGTACTAAAGTCTTTTATGAGAAAAAGTGGTATTACCATTAATGCTACTAGAAATAAAAGAATGAATAAAAAAAGATCATAATGGGGAAAAAAGAGTAAAGTAATCATCTATGGCTTTTATCTGTATTTTCTGGAGGCATTCAAGTGCTTCAAAATTATTAAAATCTAACATTATACAGTAAAAAGTACACTTAATTTTCTATTTTATTAAACAATACTTTTAGATTCATTAAAATTATTATTTTGAGGCATAGTTTTGATATCATAATTTACTTTAATAATTTCCTTTGATAGAATATGAGTTGTTGATAGTTTTTCACTAATATAATAATGCTGAAATGAATAAAATCAACCTTCGAAAACATGACTGATGGATGCTCTAGAAAGCTAAAGTTTTAAATGAATGCTGTTGTTGGTGCTTGATCATTTGGATGTACAAAATGGAAGTTTCAAATTGTTCATCTTAACCTGACTAAAATGCCTCTAGTTTAGAGAAGACAAATAGCTTGTGAAATTTCAATTAGTTAACCAGTATGAAAATGTAGAATTTGAGCTCAGTTTGCAGAACTAAAATCCTGTTTTGATTTCCCTTACAAAGCCACGTGTATTCAGTTCTTCAACCTGGTTAGTCCTTCATTAAGCTAGTTTTTACTATCAACAGATATCTGCATTAATACTTTCTATGTACAGTATTAAACTAAGACATATAAAGTTATACTTACATCTTTAAGCAAATATTTTACAATTTATATGGCACAATATTTCCTAGGAATAGTGTCATAATTTAAATACTTTTATTTACTTGATATTATATACATATATATATAATATAAGCACACCGCCATGTGTGTTCCTACGCAACTGTCTTGCATGCTCTGCTCATGTACCCCAAAACCTAAAATCCAATAAAAAATTAAAAAAAAAAAGTCTTAACACAAAAGAATAATACAGCTACTTTACAATAGGTAATAGCTACAAGTTCCAATTTGATGAATATAGTCTCTCACTGTATGTTCTAAGTTTAGACAGAAGCCACTATGTACTATGTTAAATTATACAATGTTTTTTACATAACCAGGGAGAACTGCCCCTAATTACTAATCTTTCTTTCTTTCTCTGTTCTCTTTTTTGGTTAAGACATCTGCTTAATCTACTTTGTGAAGAAATCCTACAGCATAGTATATGCCTTATGTATCGATTGGCACCTCTTCCCAACTTTGCATCATTATATGTTTTTCTGATTATATATAGCTGATTCATAGTCAGTCATCTGTTAAAAATTGCCCGTTCTTCCTTCATTTAAAGGAATTCTAATTTGAAAATCAAGCTAACAAAAAAAAAAATTAGATGCATTGGATTAGACTATACAGTGATAACTGAAATTTTGCATGTCATATCCCATCAACTGCTTGGTTTCCTTCCAATTATTTGGTTTTAGGTTTATAATCTGCCTATCCTGCTCACATATTTAATATGGTGCTAAGAGATTGGTGTTTCCACATCTATTTTTATACTTTGCCTTGGTTGCTCTGTGGAAGGTATGCAAATCTAAAGTCAAAGGTACAAGATTTTATCTAAGTGTGAGGTCAGATATGAGCACTTTGGTTACTCATATCTGAGACCACAATCAACTTGCATCTAATTATCTCATGAATGATGACAGTGTATGTCCATAATTGCCTTCTCCCCAAGAGTGCTGCTGATTCACTGACTCATTAAATGTGACCATTTGCTATATTTTGTACTGTGGAAGGGCAATCTGGCAACAGACCACTGATGCCGAAGGGCAAGAAGCTAATCCTAACCGCTGCATGTGAGTGACAGAAGTTTATAGAACCCAGATAAAATTAATATCATGTAAATGAAGAGGACTTGAGAAAATTCATATAGTTTACTTTGAAATGAAACAAATATTAACCAAAATGTCAGGGTATTATTTACAAATTTCATTAGTTAGAATTTATAACAAAATATTACCAAACAATTCCAGTAAATATTTAAGAATCATAAAGCTGTCACCCAGTAATTGACTCTCTTCATGCAGGAAGTAAACTTTTAGCATTGACACCATGAAAATATTATCTATCAAATAAGAATAGTTAACATTTACTGAGTACTTACCTTTCTCCAGAATTGGCATAAGTTCTTGTATATATTAGCTTGCTAATCATCACAACAAAGCTAAAAGTTAACATTCCTCTCATTATTTCTGATAAGGGAGCTAAATCACAGAGCAGTGGAGTAACACTCAAAACACGATGAAGTTGTGAGTCAAATCCAAGCAATTTGACTATGATAATTGCTTTCTACTGCTGACCTAGACATTATCTCAATTATATTATAGTTTTAATTATTTTATCTCCCATGTTCAACTTCTGAGCTCTCTGCAATAAGGTTTTGAAAATGAGTTTATTCAAAATCTAGTTGTGAAAAGAAAGATAACACATATGTTTGGGTAATAGTTATTATATGATGACATGCTAATTGTAACTTTTAATAAAAGAGTGTTTTGGAGAGGATCTGACAGCCTCCCTAGGGGAAGTACTGACACTTCAACTAGGCTTGAACAAGACACAACATTTGTACAATTAAGGATGGAAGAAAGTTCAAGTATAGAATTCACAATATATAAACAGTATGAATAACAATAAGAATAGGATATATTAGAGGTGTGTTGACTCTTTTCCCCTCAAACTCTGGTCATCTTCATAACCTTTATTGGAAAATTCTCTGGTTTGTATCTTACTCATAAATTCTTCCTAGATTCTGACTTACCAAAACTTTTGAGATGTGCCTCTCAATTATAAGCCTCACCTAACTTATACTCATCACTTGGTGCTTTAATTTTATGTCTGTACATGGGTATAGGAAACTTGGCACTTACAGTTTCATTTAAAGAAAGAAAGTTAATATAATAAATAAGCTGAATGAAAATATATATGGTCAGAAATTACATGAAACTGTAAATTAATGAGAATTGGATTTTTTATATGGCTTCTCAATGACCATAAAATTATGTCTTAAAGAAAAGCTTCAGAAATATTCCAGACATGAGATTTCTTTAATAAGAAATTATTAGTTTCTTTATTATTGGAAGCTGCAGCAAAGTTCTAAGGCCTGTGAAGATGACAGTATATAATAAAAGCTAGAAAAAGCAAGAGGTTATAATTGAGTATTTATAGTATCTCAGTAATTTTTAAGAATAGATCTATGCTTGCAGACGTGAATGAACTCAGACAATTATACTTGCACTAAAACCGTACCTC